CTTCTAGATAATAATCAAAGATATGAATAAACTAATAGTTTTGAATGAATGCAAATATTGGAAAAGATGATTCTTTTTCGTCTATAAAAAGTGTTGTATGACATATCGATGGATTTATCTATAAAAAAAATGCTATGAATCAGAGTGAAATGATCATTAATTATTCTTATTTGGTCTCAAATTCAGATAAAAATCTTCATATTTATCAATTTTGATGTTATTTTGAACTTTTCATTCTTTTTTATCTGCAAGAGAAGATATTGGTTATATTACAGGGCTATGTCCTGGTACAAATAACCCTATTTTAAAAGGTCGTAGCTGTTAATAATATAAGTTATGAATCATGTTATGGAGTTGTGATTGCTGTTTTCTCGGTTTTTTACCTCAATGTCATTTATTTATTATGTTTTTTCTTGTTTGAACATTTACTTGTACAAAGTAGCGGTCGTTTACTAACAGCGATTTTAAAATTTGTTCGTATTCACGTTGTTAAAAAATTAATGGATATGGATTTTCAACCTGAGTTTCTAATTGTGAGAATATTGAGCAAGACAATTATCACTTGAGATAGGTTGAAAAAGTAGTATACTTAATCATAGATATTGGAATAACTTATTAATGATGGACCTTTTTCTGAGAAACCTGTGCCTTATATTAAGAACGCAAAAGATCACAGAGAAGTCCACAAAAGAAAAGAAGATGAAGATATTGATATCAATATAGAGAAGATGATAATATTGAATAATTAAAAAAAAAATAGAAATATGAAGAATAAAACTTCTGGTCTTATTAATTAGAGTGTTTCATAGTAATAAACGATGTTAACCTTCTGTATACATATGTTATCATTATCATCTACGCGAAATATATAAAGTTGAAAAGTTTATGTCACATTATGTTGTTCAATGTCTTTCAACATTTTGATAAATTCAGTTTCACTATCTTTTAGTAATATTATCCCATTCTACAGTCCATGGTGAACTCTATAAAACATCCGAGTATAGCGGTAAAATAAGAAAAATTCATTGCAGGCAAAATCATTAAATAAACCATTTGTCAAGATGAATTTGAGACCAATGGGATATAATTTTTGCATATTTGTCAAAATTTTCAATTCTTCTTTAATCAAATATGCGACTTAATTGGAAATAAACAAGTATTTTATACTTAGTTGCGTCGACTTTATTGTATTGCGTATTACTATTAATAGATGTTATTATTAGATCGATGTTCACTAAATAATACTAATAGAACGTCCGTATAGCGCAATTAACATGAATACAAATAATGTATTTATATGAAATATTAAAACGTAATTAGCTGTGCACTGAAGCATAATTGTTCTCTATTCATTTGTATATTTTTTTTTATTGCATATGGGTAATACAGAGAGTGTCTCATCTCAGCGTTTTACACCAATTCTAACATCTTTCAATTCCATTACTCCTTTATATGAAGCATGTCGTGATGGTAATGAAGAACAAGTTCGAAATCTTTTACCAAAATATTCTCATGCTGCTTTGAATCGACAAGAATTTTCATATGGTGGAAATACATGTTTACATGTTGCTGCTGCAAATGGCCATGATAATATTGTTAAACTTTTACTTAAGCAAGGTTGTTATCGATCATCACTTCTTAATTCACAAAATCAAAGTGCTTATGATGTGGCATCATTAGCTAAAGAATCTACACGTTTCTTATTTTTTCGTCAAAGTGAAACTGATTCATCATCAAAATGTTCTTCACGATTTTTCGAACAAAATGCATCCGAATGTTTTGATGTATTTAAGGTTAAAGATAATCAAGATGGTGATGATGATACGAGTGCTAAAAAAACAAAAACACTTGCAAAATTATCTAGTATACAAACATACAAAACTGAAGAAGAAAAAAAACATGAAATCGAATATTCTGCAAGTTCAAAAGCTATGTGTCAATCACGTCTTGCTCGTTTTTGTGTAAATCATTTTCATTCTGATGAACCATTAGATCACCATGCAATAATAAAACGTTTAAATGATCTACTAAAACACATTAATATGGATAATTCTGATGATTATATTAAAATCAATGACTTGATAAAAGAATATGAAGAAAATGATAATTCAATCGAACAATTACTTCATTTATATACACTGGAAACAAAATTTTATCGAATGTTAAAAAGAGATTGTTTACCATTAGCTATACCATTATTTATACAATTACCAAAATTAAAAGAACGATATTTTAGAGGACGTGTTTATCGTGGTATGCATATGATATATGAAGAATTATTAATATATCAAAGAGCTATGAAAATACCAGGAACTGTTTTACAAACACGTTCCTTTTCTTCAACATCAATGAATCGTTCTATTGCAGAAGAATTTGCATATTTACAAGAGAAAACTAATAAAAAGAAATTCTGTGTTTTATTAGTATTCGATTTCCCTAATATATGTGATCAAGCTATTAATCTTACAAGAGTATCAATTGATAAACCATGTTTAAGTGAATATGAAGATGAACAAGAAGTACTTATTTTACCATGGACTTTATTTGAAGTAAAACTTATACAAGAAGCAGCTGATGAAGATGATTTATGCACAATTTATTTAACTAATATTATGATACCAAACAAAAATCTTATGTCAACATTTGCATGGAGTTGGACTGAATTTAAAAAGAAACTAATACAAGAAAAAAGATTTCAATTTGATTGTGCATTTCAAAAATATAAAATATCAATGACTAGAAGTGAATAAATCTGTACTATTTTTTTTTTCTTTATAATTTAATAAATTCTTTTACGTACTAATATCATATTATAATGCAGTTATAACTGGTCAAAACGTGTTGACAGCGTATTTGTTCGATGATATTTTCAGTTCTTTTTCTAATTAACATGAGACAATAGTATTTGCTTAGATAAATATAGATGACAAGAAGTAAAAAATCCTTTGATATCTCACTCTTAAATGCCATAATCTGTTTTCAGTCTTCTTATTGTGTATGATTTATCAATATTACTGCTTAATGAAAACAATGGATGATGCACAAATTCTTGCACAAATGTCGCTTCAGTTTTCATCGCCTAAAACATGTTTCAGAAAAATAAAAAATAACTATTCAGACTCTACGTTGAAAGCGCTTTCTAGCTGTATGTTCAAAAAATTTCTATCATGTCTTGTTTTTGAGTAGTAGTCACATCTTTAAACAACATTAAAATGTATGTCATAAAAAACAACTCACAATGGCTGTGGTAGAGAAAACCGATCTTTTAGTGATGCCGTACTATTTTGCACAAGGTTCGTAGGAAATTAAACGACGAATTCAATGAAAAAAAAGCAACAAAATACGACGGAACAGATAAGAGAAACTCGAAAAATACCAAACGATTTGTTCCTTTGGCCGCAGCCATTGCGGACTATTGTTACAGACTAGTGTTATTTAAAGATGTGCTTGCTACTCAAAGATAAGACATAATCGAACTTTTTTGAACATACATCTAAAATTCGATTTCAGCGCAGATTCTGAATAGCTATTTTTTATTTGTTCGAAATATGCTTTAGTCAATGAAAAATGAACCGAAATTTGTCCAAGATCTTTTGCAACACCTACTATATTAGAACGTTTTCAATATTTTTCCAAAGTCAAAAATTCTTTACAAAAAAATAGTAGTCTATTTTATGTATCGTTTGCCTTATTATGAGTTGTTTTCAATACTTCATTTTAAAATTGACTAATGTCAATAATTACAGTTTCTTTAAAATCAAAATTGGTTTCTGAAAGCATTCTCATATTTACATAAATAAAATAACCATATAACACTCATATTCAATCATACGAATTATCATACGTCCAAAATATAATCATCTATCTGTTTCCTATTCTTACTAATAAATATAACTTTACAACTGTCAAGTAAAATCTTATCAATACACTAAAAGTTTATTCAAAAGTTTTTCAAAGCTAATCAGTTATTTCGAATTCAAATGAGATATTCTCTTAAACATCAAACAGTAGGAGTCAATTATTTGTGGTGAAAGAAAAAAAATTCGTGATAAACTATCTTCAATAGAAGCTATAGAAATATTATATATAGAATAGTTCTAACTTGACACTCAATCTCACTTATCTTGGGATTCTAGTTAAACATATTCTAACGTTTTACTATTGAAATTTGTTTATTATATATTCCCTAGACTGTAAGGATAGCATCTAAAAGCCGGAATTCATCAGTGTCTGTCAGTCTGGAATAACAGAGTTATTATATGATAACTATGATCTAAATAACTGCATTGGATAACAAAAAAAGGGCAGATACGCATGAGGACTCGAATTAATCGAAGATTAGCATATTAGGATGAAGAATATGAAATCCATATTCATTCAATATTGTATCATATACAACCGTATTTTGATGTATTTTGATGGCTCAGTATAATGGTCATATTCTACTGTATAGTGTACGGAGGGATACCGAATAAAATGCAAGTCATAAACGAACTCTGTAAAGGGTTTTTGAGGTGAACTGGAAAATGTTTTCTGCTTTTTCTGTTTATATCTTTCTGATCGTGTATCTCAGAATTTTCAAAGGAGCTTCATTGTAGCTAATGACTATTTTCGTTTTTTCTAGACTGAAAGAATAGGATCTAGAAACAAAAATTCGTATATGTCTGTAGCACAGTTACCATATGGTAACTATGACACAAGTGACCATTTCTGCGGTACAAATAACCACGTGGTCACTATGGTCGAAAAGGGTGACTTAGTAACTCCGGTGCAACTGAGCGCCTAGTAATTATAATTCAAATGGAATTAGAAAAGATTATAAAGATATCACTTATCGGTCATTACTGTTGAAATTAATAGTCTAATATGAGCTATATAAAAGTTAAGTTGACGAGCATTCTTAATAAATTATTAAGTTTGATTGAATTTGGCTTAATCGTGCAAAGACGAGCATCTTATTGTTTCCCAAATTATAGCCTGTTGAATAAATTTGACCATGGGATTATAATAAATAAAAATCATCTTTTTAAACTATGTGATAAAACTAATGTAATACGACTTTGTTTTGACTCCAAATTGCATTAATATAAACTAATTGGAAGAATGCATTCTTATTTTTTTTTATAATTATTATTGGAAAGATGAATAACAATACGAATAGAAATACTTCGTCGCATCAAGGTAGTTTCTTTGACAATCTAGAACAATAACTATTAGAAATGGAATTTGTCGGAAGTATGTAACATAATCACATAAAATGTGAGTAAATTGCTTAAATTTGTAAATGTTTCAAAGGAATAAAAAGAACCTTTCCTTGATTCATAATAATATCATCATGTGTTTGCTGAGAACTAGTCAGTTCTAATAAAGATAACTGTTTTTTATATTATATGTCTTGAAATTCAGGTTAATGCCTATGAGGAGATAGATCATTAAACATCTATAAAAAAGAAAGTGATTTCCAGTGGAATTTGGAACTGACTGAGAACTTGTGTACAATTTAACGTTGACTCATCTGGAGAAGAAAATATAAAAACATAACTAAGTGCAAATAAATGCATCCATCTTTCGTTACTTTCCTCTTTATTTATTTTTGCACAACTTAAAAATGCTTTAGTTAGAGTGAACTATTAGTCGATGAAAATATTTCTAAAACGAGTCAATAGTCTAATATGCATTGATATTATTCTAGCATGTGAAACATTGTAAGACATTGTATTCATATTCCGATGGAGGTAACTTTTGCAAACAATATCAGAGTGCTTAGTACAATAGCGTGCTCCAGTATGATTTCATAATATTGTCAACAGACAAAAGTTCAATGCCGAAAAATGGTTGAGAATTTGAAAACACAAATCCTTATGTAGCATAGCTTACGTAAGCGTCCTATTTTCAGATGCTATTTTATCTGACGCATGTTTGCATCTAAAAACAACTGCATAGATACTTATATTCCGTTAATCTAGGGCTTAATAAATCCACTCTCGATGAACGTTACTTGTGAATATATCATGTCAAGAAGCAGAACATGACAGAGTCCGGTTCTTGACTTAAGCTTTGTTACCATTATATATAACAGTACTTTTATAATTAAAACGACACTTTTCGAGGCATTGAACTTTGCATTCTTGTTCTCCCCCTTAAAAAAGTAAGAATTTAAAAAAGCGCCCTATCATGACCTGCATCTTCATATGTTCTTTCAAAGAGAAAAAAAATCTATAGAATAGGGGTCCATAGAGAATTTTAGGTTGCCATTTGAACTATTTTTGGCCCTTGTTAGTTGAATATATCTCATAAAAATCACGGGATCGGGCTGAAAATTTTACTATATCCATAGCCATTAAGGAATCTTCTTTTTGTCCTGAATCGTTTGTTTTTTCCTATTTAAATAGCTTTTCTACTTTTTTTTCGCTAAGGTTTAACTGATAAAACTGATTCAACAACAAATAATGAAGAACGTCGTATCGTTGAACAATTATGGCAAGAATTGAAACCACTACA